CAACAAGTACTTTTCGATATTGATCATCCGAAACATTCATTACCAGAGATTCATGTACACTGTGTTAACCAATTCCATATTTATGAGATACTTACTGTTTGAACTGAAAGGCAGTGGTTCAAGCTCACCATCTGCTCCTTGGAAACCCTATACAGGGTCGCTGTGGGTCGGAATTGACTCAACAGCAGTTAACAACAGCAATTCTTCCAATAGTGTTTTTGTGTTTATTAGGCTCGGTAGTGGTCTACTAAAGTTACTTATATGAACCCCCTCAAATCCCAACCAAGGAATGTTAAAAGGGAATAAATTAAATTTGCTTTTGTAGGTTCAGTCAATGACTTAATAATAAATGCCGGCCTCAATTTTTCAGTTCTATGTTAATTGGTTGCCATGGCTATATTTGAGCTTTTATGAAAGCTAGCAGTACATATTACTTTGAACCATGAGAAATTAGCTTGAAAGAAGTTATCTGACTCTTAAGTAAATTGACCTGGATTTACCATTCTGTAAGTCATAAACAATTTTGTTGAATATGTGAACAAAATCTAATTATCAGTGTCATTTGTATAAAGTCTGAATTTGGATTAAGAACTATTGGTTTTAAAATATTTAGTATCTGTGAATACAAATGGAATTTATTTTCTTTTCAGTGCGGGTTGTTGAAAATGTGGGAAAAATAGAGATTGTCCTGAAGAAAAAAGAGAATACTTCTTGGAAATGTCTTGGTCGTCCCCTGGAGGGTCATAATTCATTTATTCCCAAGAAAGATACAGGTACGGGTTGTTGTTTTGAGTCCTTTGTTCGGAAAATAGTTGTGTTAATGGCGCATCTGTACCAGAGTTTGCAACGTCACTTTGGGATGAACTGAAGTATCCTTATGTCCTCGTGTGGTGTTGCAGAATAATGTGCTGGACTGTAAGGTCAGTTTGAACCACACCAGCTGCCCCTTGAAAACTTAATACAGGGTCACTACGGGTTGGAACCGACACTTAACAACAAGAAGTAGTTGAAAAGGTACATCGTGTCTGTTATCCCACTTTTTGCACAGAAGATGATGTCAGACTCTGCCATCTAATGTTTACAGACAACAAGGTCATTAGGTAACACTATTGTGTGGTGCTGTGGGTTAATGCTTAATGCGCTGGACTGCAAGGTCACTTTGCACCACAAGGTCAGCGGTTCAAGCTCACCCACTACTCCTCGGAAACCCTATCCAGGTCGCTATGAGTCGGTACGGACTCGACAGCTCTAAACAACAACAACATCTTTAATGGAGAATACAGTCTTGTGCTTAGACCGTTGTCCACCTATTGGCTCCTGCAGTTCCCTTTTTATAAAATACAAAATCAAGCTCAAGTGTATGCTTTTTATCATATCTTCTGGCTTCCTGTTGAAGAATTCGTGTGTTGTTTTCAATGTGAGTTAACCAGTTTTTTTGTTCACTTCTAAAAGGTAGCGTTATTCATTTTCTTCTTCATTCTGTTGCTTTTAATCCAAGTATAATGCATATATGGAAAAGGGGACAAACATACTTGATGAATATTTATGTGGTTTTTTTTGTTGTTGTTTCTTCTCTGGAAATTGGTAGGATTTTCTCCTTGTTCTAAATGCTTTGAAATTTCATGATATGCCTTAATATGACTCTGTTTTCCTCCTTTGTGCTAATAATTTTTAATATGGAAATTTATGACCTTCAGTTACAGATACATTATTGATTTTTCCTTCCTGTGTGATCTATTTTGCTTTCTAGAAATGTTTTTCTTATATTGGACCTCGTTCACCAGTCTTCGTCATTTTTTGTCTTTTGTTGTACTTCCTGAGAGATTTCTTCAGCTGTATCTTCCATTCAGTTACTTATTTCTACTATCAGAATTTTAACTTTTATAAAGTCATTTGATTTCTGTTCCTTTGTTTTAGCATGGTATTCTCCTATCATTTTAACAATGTTTTACTACACCTATGGATGCAGTAGCTCAAAAAAGGGAACAAATCTTTACAGCGAGGATCATTCCCACCCCCTCAATACACAGGGTAGACAGGGATGGGCAACGTGGACATTGGCTACCCAAAATGGGGTGGGGGTGGGGGGTTGCTACAAAGTCAAGCAGTGACTGGCTTACAAATTTTCAAGAAAGATCCTAGATCCAGTGGGCGTGAAGGAAGATAGAATCTTCACTGAGTAGTATCCAGTCTGTTTGGGCGGGACTGATGAAAGGAGATGGGGATAGCACTCATGTGGTACAATAGTACAATAAATTAGTACTGACTGTGAGGGATGGAAATGTAAAGTAGACATTTTGTAGCAAAAGGAGGGGAATGGCTGACTTTGCAGGCCAGGAGCAGAGGGCCCTGGGACCATTAAAGGAGAAGAGCAGAGTTCAGGACCATACCCAGAGAAACAGTGATGCCAGAGATGGAGGCAGAGATGATGACATGGAGAGATGGAGTGGCTGGGGACTCTAGACCCAGAGAGGGAGAGGGGCTGTGTGCTGAGGACCAAGGGGCAGGCTTGCAGGGTACACCCTTTGGTTGGTTGATGATGCATGGAGGGGATTGTAACCATGGCACTGTAACGATATACAATAAGATGAATGTAAAGCTAATGTTCTCCCATGTAAACTATCACATAATTCACAGTAAAACAGTTAACAATAAATAAATTACAAGCTGGAAATTAAAAAAAAAAAAAAAACAGATGACTGCTGTCCAAGGGCCTTCTGATCTTGCATGACAATGCAGGTCCCCACACCTCTATCCACACTGTTGACACTCTGCAAAAACTTCATTTTTAGTTGTTAAAGCATCCTCCCCACAGTCCTGATCTTGTTCCATTGGACTTTCACCTGTTTAGTCCCTTGAAAGTAGCCCTTCGAAGATGAAGATTCACCTCTGATGAAAGATGAATGAATGAAGTGAAGACAGCAGTGCATTCATGGCTCTAAGCTCAGCCTAGAACATTTCGTAAGGGAATATGAAAGCTTGTTGACAGATGGAGAAAGTCTATTGAAAAGCAAGGAAATTATGTCAAAAAATGATGTATTTGTCTTTTCTTAAAGTTAACGATTAAAATAAATTCTAAAGTGAAAAAAAAAAAAAGACTGTTTTAGAGTTTTCCTTGTTTCTCTGTAATCTCTGTGTCCCCAAATTTGGTTGTTGGTGTTAGTTTGTTTGGTTTGTCTTTCATAAAAACTGCTTGGAGACTCTGCATTTGGATGTGACTTGTCATCAAGTTAGTTCCAACTCATTGTGACCTTGTGTAGGGTTTCTAAGGAGCGGCTGGTGGGTTTGAACTACTGACCTTGCAGTTAGCAGTCCAGTGCTTATTCTACAGCACCATACCAAGGACTCCACCAATATTGTATAGGAATGATCAAATAGATGGCTTTTACCACAGCAAGAGGTCTGAATTTTGTGGTGTTATGTAGGGAGGGATAATAAAGAGGAATAATAATAATGTGATCTAGCAGATCAGAAGAAAATAGGAAACAATGGAAATGAAATTATTTGACTTATTTAATGATCAAACAATATAGTAAACTAGCTTATAGTAGTTCAAGAAATAAAAAAAGCAAAGTTTAAGAAGTAAAAGATAGTGAAAACCAAGGTTGACTTCTATTTGAAACAGAATGACTGTAACTCAGGTACTCTTCTCTGTAGTTAAGTCTGAGACTTCCCATGAACTCTTGTCTCTGCTATAAATTCACCTTGAATTCTGAACCACCATAATCAGTTTTCGCTTTTTTGTCTTAAAGTAAAGCCATGCCTGAATTTTTCAGTGGTGTAGAAATTCCACTTTGGAAAATGATTCAGTTTAATGGATATGTATTTGTTTATCTGACTGAATCAGCAAAGATAATTTCTTCTTTCTTATTTCCTTTCCATAGACCATGACAAAAAAAATCTGTAGGTTATTTAATCTACTAGAAAACTGAATGTGCTTACATCATCAGTGTATTATGACCAACTTGCTGTCTTATAATCGCTAATGCTTTAAGTGGTTCCTAGGTTTTCAATACGTGTAATACTATTATTTATGCTAGAACGCTGGCTGCATTTTATGGGTTTCCTGGTTTAAAAAAATTTAGATGAAAAATAAGCATATGTTGAAAATTTTTAATACAATGTCTTCTCATGTCAAATCTAAAATTTATTTACATGAAAGATTTAAATATAACAAAGAACATTGGTCAGAGAAATAAAAGCTACTCTTCTTTACCTTCTTTACTTTTAAAACTGCTCTTTTAAAGGTAAAATTGATTTACATTTCATCTAAATAAGTAATATTTTAATTTTTCTGAGTAGAAACCAGACTGCCATTTGTAAGTGGGAAGCTTCCAGGTACTTTTTTCCGCAGATGTGAACATTATGAGTGCACAGGGGTGTCTCTGTCTGTGTGTGTTTGATGGCTGAGGAACTTAATTTGTCTATTAAGGATCAGAAAACTAATGGACAATCAGGTTGTTATTTCTGTACTTAACCCAACATTTTAATTTAGCTGTAATGGCCATTCATAATGGAGATTTTGGTCCCCAAACAGAAGGAATTAAAAAAATTTGCTAACAAACAACTCAGTAAATAGCTTTAGAATATAAAATTATAAACTTTTTCTTTTTAATTTTGAATTGAGTAAAGGTTTACAGAGAAGATCATTAGTTTTACATTCAACAGATCATGCACGTTGTTTCATCTCAGTGAATGCAATCTCCTCGGTGGAACAACAGTCGTCTGCTTTCTCCTCATGTTCCTATTTTCCTTCCCCCCACCTTCCCATCCCTTCTCACTGTTGTCGTTAGGTACCTGTTGCCCCTTGATTATGAATGCTTGACCATTCCATCATTCATACAGAGCATATCTTACTAATGTTTTTGTTCCCCTTATATACCTGTCTACTGCTTGGCTGAAAGCAGGTGTATTCCTTTCCAAACCTGGAGGATCATGGAGGGCTACAGTCTCAGGTTCCTCCAGGCTCTTTGTGACCAGTAAGCCTATTGTTTGTTTGTTTTAATAATTTTACATTTTGTTCACATATTACACCGCTCTATCCAAGACTTTTTAATGTGATCCCTTTCAATGTGCCACTATTTTTATGTATTAGTATTTTTAAACCTTTAGGATCTCACTTGCCTTCATTGGCTTGCTACTTCACCATATATGATATCATTCTCTAACAGTTGATCCCTCCAGATGACCCACTCATATCAAGTGAGTGAAATAATGTTCTGTTGTGATCCATAAGGTTTATATGGATTCACTGTCTGTAGTAGTTTAACAGGCCTTTCTTCATAGTCCATCTTAGTCTGGAGCCTGCCCACCATGGCTGGCATTTGACCTGCTGGCATTTGAAATGCCACTGGCATGACTATGTGTACCACAGTAACGTATGTGCTACCACAGTATAACAGACTGACATGGGTTGTGGTTCTCCATTTTACATACATTTAAAGAAGTTAGCTATTTGGGGCAGAAAGCTTCTGTTATGTGTTTATTTTACCTACATTTTACGTTTACTAAAGAGTTCTCATTTTCCTTTACAGTTTTCTGTGCTTACAAAATCAAAAACCTGACACTTTAACTTAATAATGATATTGTCCAGGCCAAAGTAGTCAGCTTTAGGTTCTGTCTTTTCCTCTTCTCTCTCTCTCTCATCCGTTTCAGTTCTGGGTTAATTCCAACTGATAGTATAGCCTATGTTGTTGTTGTTGTTGTTGTTAAGTGCCATTGAGTCAGTTCCGACCCATAATGACCCAGTATAGGGTTCACAGAGAGCAACTGG